ACCGAGGGCGCCAGCCCGCCCCGACTCGGGAGTTGTGGCCCCACGCTGGAACCCCCGAACGCGGTGGGCGTCGCCTAGGAGAACTGCTCGGCGTCATCTGTCGCCCGCCGTGGCGCCGGGCTTTCCTCTCGGTCGCCCACGCCGCAGCGCTCTTTGTAGAGAGGAGCCTCCACCAGTGGATTAAAATCGCGAGTTCCTTTGGCCTTCAAAAGCCACAGGGTCTTGACGAGGACTTTTTGTTGTTGTTGTAAGTTGGAGTCTCACTCTCACCCAGGCGGGAGGGCGGCGGCAGGCTCCCGGCCTCCGCAGCCTCGACCCGCTGGGCTCCGGCGATCCTTCGGCCTCAGCCTTCCAAGCAGCCGGAACTTCAGGCGCGCGCTACCACGCCCGGCTGACTTCTCATCTGTTGTAGAGACGAGGTCTCGCCAAGGTGCCCGGGCGGGTCTCGAACCCGCGGGCTCGGGCAGTCCACTCGCCTCGGCCTCCCAAAGTGCTGGGATGACAGGCTGAGCCACCGAGTCCGGCCCTGACGAGGGATTTTGATCTTTCCGTGTTCTTGAGAATAACCTCGGGGGGAGATACTTGATTACAAGGGGGGTGGTCATTGCCAATACAACTGCAGCCGCTCTTGAGATTTCAGTAAGAATGCTATAATGGGTTATTGGAGACGGCATCTGCAGAACAGTAGGAAAGTAGAAAACTCAATTGTCCTTTGGACTTTGGGTCAGTTGAAAGTTAAGGGAAAACAATCTTCGTAAACTATATTGCTACATTTCACTGAATAACTAACTGAAATTTTTCTGTGAGTCGTCTTTTAATGCCTCAGGCTCATTGTGAACTTACTATGGCTGTGTACTATTGTAAATGTGGAATGTAAATGATTTGGCTGCATACTCTGGAAATTCCCTTTCCAATTAAATTATTTGTTTGATTTGTCATTTATTGTGTTTTTGTTTTTTCCTCATATTAATGGAAAATGTCTTTAAATCCTGGAGTTGAAGGCTTAACTGGCTGCCTTCAAAATATTTTGTTTATAAAGACTTAAATGACTGTTAATTAAGTACAATTTGACTATGTAACATCAAATGTAATAAACACCTTCAGCTCAAAATAAGTTCCTTAGAAATTGTTTTGCAGGCTACTCATGTAATACAAGAGATGTCAAGCCAAATAATGAAAGAAATGTCAGAAGATTCAGAAAAGGAAGACTATTCAGACAGAACAATCAGTAATGAAGATGAATCAGTATGTTTTTCTCAACTGTAGTTTACTTAATTTGAGTTATATAAATGTGTCGTATAAATCCCCAATTAAAATATTATAGCATCAATTTGATGTAAAGAATCAACTGAATGTTTAAATCATTGTCATTGAAGTTGGGAAGGAATTTGAGCGAAAAAGCTAAGCTATTACTGTGTGCAGTATGTCCTATCTAGAAAGAGAAACTATATTATCTTGAGAAAATATTTTGCTAAGGTTCTTCTAGGTTTTCTTAAAATGTATGTATGAAATCGTTATTAGAGTTTTATTTTTATAATTCGTGTCCACTTATTTTCTTATATGCACTAATTCTATTTTGTTATAATATGTATAGTGCAAGAACCACCATGTTCTAACCTTATTCTGTATCACCATAACAGTTTTAATGTGGTTCTGATGTCATATGAGAAAAGATAGGGAAGAAGAAAAGTGGGGAGAAATGTAATATTTAAACATATTTTGTCTGGTTCTAGTACATATTTCTGAGAGATTTCCTTCAAATTTTGTTAAGTATATATAATCATGTATGTAACCTGTAAGCTTTCTGTATAAATAACTTTAAGTCTATGGCTTTCTGTTTTCCTTTCTTTCTGTTAATTTTGTTCTGAATTTAAATAGTTTTTCTGAAAAAACTTTAAGGCTTATTCCTTCTCTACAGCCAGTGGAAGAGGAGGAATGAAAGATGCAAACTTTAAGGTTTCAGGATATTGGAAGTGTTGGGTGCTTTAAGACCAGTAGCCCATATTAATCTTTTAATTTTCTCATTAAGTATTAAAGACATATATTCAATTTCAAATACTAAGATAGATGTAAAAAATTTCTGGATATGGAAACTGTTAGTTTTTTAAAGAGAAATATAAAAATTTTGTTTTAGGATGAGGATATGTTCATGAAATTTATAAGCGAAGATATTCATCAATGTGCACTTTTAACAGGTTTGAACATATTCATATATTTCTTATTTCCTTAGTCATAAAAATGTGAGTGAATAAAAAACAAGAAGATGAGGAAACTAAAAAAACATCGAGTAATATAGAGAATGATTATTCTGATAGAAAGGGAGAGAGAAATGTATCCACTTTTAGAATTCAAACTTTTCAGTTTTGTTTTAGATAAATCTTTTTTGTATTAGAATATAATAAATGAAAATGATTACTTTATAAAGGACTTTACTTAACCCAAGGATTTACCACATCGTTTCTTTAAATGAATTTACAGTATGACTCAAGTTATAATTGACACAGAGTGTTGGAAGTGCATCTTCATTTAAATGAAGTGTACTTGTAGAAAGAGTTTCCTTAATAAAAAGTCGTTCATTTGCAAGTGTACATGTAGGTAGGCATCCTGATGTATACTTAATTTTTAAAATTGTTATTTATTTAGGGTTGTACTTTACTAAAATATTAATTGTTCTACTAAATTATTTACATATGTATCACAAATACTCTGAAATTGAAGTTAATACCTTTATCTTTTTTTTTCTCTTACCACGATCCTAAAACTATTCTTCCATTTTGAGAGAACCACCATTCTTAGTTTGGTGTGTATTTTTCTAGACCTTTTTCTTTGCATTTATATGCATGTCTGTACCCATACTGATAGAACTTTCATGTACTATTTGGTGTAATTTTCCTTGCTGTCCTCTTTTAAAATTACCAAACTATAGCCGGGCTCGGTGGCTCAGCCTGTAATCCCACGCTTTGGGAGGCTGAGGTGAGTGGATTGCCTGAGCCCGC